CTGTTAAAATTTAATTATGTCCCTGATTGTAGGTTAGTCATGTCATCCTGTGCCAGATGATAGACTTTTAACTTGTATCGGGCCACCTGTTGTCTAGTTTTACTACTGTGGACCATTATACTACATGTACTGGGTTACTTCACTCATTCACCCCTGAAGACACATTTGAACTCTTCCAATTCAAAAATTATAAAATTTCAGGGGTGAATGAGTTAATGTATCGGTTGGCCGGTTGGCCGCTGGCCATGCATTTAGTTTGGAAACTTCCGAACACCATTACTGCTACATTGGTTTAACTCGTACATCCCTGAAGACACATTTGAACTCTTCCAATTCAAAAATTGGAATAGATCATTATAAAATTTCAGAGGTGAATGAGTTAATGGTCGTCGTTAATATTAGTAACTTGTTTAGTTGATTGTTTTGACATTGTCCTTTTTGAGCCACTGATTACTGCTAGTACGGTAGATTTTGGTTAATGGGCCCCGGTATACCACATTTGTCAAACTTTTGTCAAAAATTGGAAGTTGTTGAAAATCCATATGAACAGTGTAAAACATATGAGTTCTGTTTGAATGTGTCATTTCTTAAAAATAAAAAACAGAAACAAGTTCAATTGCAACATAAATATCGATGAAATGTATTGAAGAATTGTTGAAAATCACCTCTGGACAGAATTTGTTTACGTCTCATCATGGGATTTAGTTCAACAAGTTGCAATTGTAACACGTTGTCAGACATGTCATATTCTCTGAACAAATAACAGTAAACACTTGCAAATTCTATTAAGGATCCCCGTACCACTGCCAAGAACTGTATAACTAGGCACTGAAAAGTGAACTTGCCCACATGGCTGATGTAGCTTTGATAAATCATTGCCCACATGGCTGATGTAGCTTTGATAAATCATTGCCCACATGGCTGATGTAGCTTTGATAAATCATTGCCCACATGGCTGATGTAGCTTTGATAAATCATTGCCCACATGGCTGATGTAGCTTTGATAAATCATTGCCCACATGGCTGATGTAGCTTTGATAAATCATTGCCCACATGGCTGATGTAGCTTTGATAAATCAATTTTGAAAAAGAAAACTATACTTTGCAGGGCTTCTATGGAAAGTAATAGAGATGAAATAACCAAAAATTTATCAGTAACAGTGTCCTGTTTGTAAAAAAATCAGCGGGACTAGACCGGGATTCGAACCATGAACTCCAGTTTGTTATACCATCACTATAACCGACTGAGGTATATGTACCTGGTCAACGGAAGTGGCCCAGCCCAGCTGTTCTACAATATATCCAAAATCAAAATTAAGGAGAGGTTTCTGTATATTAAAAAAACCCAGAGTGCTGTTGAACAGGGATCCTTAAATTGGGTTTTGTTGGTCAATATAGGAAAGAATGGTCCTATTTCTGTGAGGTTAATTATAATATAGAAATTATTTCAAGGGAAGGTTTTTATAGATGTCTTACTTCCTGGTAATGGTGCTACGGGTGACTTACTTCCTGGTAATGGTGCTACGGGTGACTTACTTCCTGGTAATGATGCTATGGGTGACTTGCTGCCTTGTAATGGTGCTACGGGTGACTTACTTTCTGGTAATGGTGCTACGGGTGACTTACTTCCTGGTAATGGTGCTACGGGTGACTTACTTCCTGGTAATGATGCTACGGGTGACTTGCTGCCTTGTAATGGTGCTACGGGTGACTTACTTCCTGGTAATGGTGCTACGGGTGACTTACTTCCTGGTAATGGTGCTACGGGTGACTTACTTCCTGGTAATGGTGCTACGGGTGACTTACTTCCTGGTAATGGTGCTACGGGTGACTTACTTCCTTGTAATGGTGCTACGGGTGACTTACTTCCTGGTAATGGTGCTACGGGTGACTTACTTCCTGGTAATGGTGCTACGGGTGACTTACTTCCTGGTAATGGTGCTACGGGTGACTTACTTCCTGGTAATGGTGCTACGGGTGACTTACTTCCTGGTAATGGTGCTACGGGTGACTTACTTCCTGGTAATGGTGCTACGGGTGACTTACTTCCTGGTAATGGTGCTACGGGTGACTTACTTCCTGGTAATGGTGCTATGGGTGACTTACTTCCTGGTAATGGTGCTATGGTTGACTTACTTCCTGGTAATGATGATACGGGTGACTTGCTGCCTTGTAATGGTGCTACGGATGACTTACTTCCTGGTAATGATGCTACGGGTGACTTACTTCCTGGTAATGGTGCTACAGGTGACTTACTTTCTGGTAATGGTGCTACGGGTGATTTACTTCCTGGTAATGGTGCTACGGGTGACTTACTTCCTGGTAATGGTGCTACGGGTGACTTACTTCCTGGTAATGGTGCTACGGGTGACTTACTTCCTGGTAATGGTGCTACGGGTGACTTGCTGCCTTGCAATGGTGCTACGGATGACTTACTTCCTGGTAATGGTGCTACGGGTGACTTACTTCCTGGTAATGGTGCTATGGGTGACTTACTTCCTGGTAATGGTGCTACGGGTGACTTACTTCAAGGGAAGGTTGCTATGGTTACATCATGGTGGATGACAGCAGGATTATGCTGTTTGCGGTGCTGGTATTATTTACCTAGGTTATATTGCCATCGTTTAATTATTATCTCTGCTCAAAGATGAGTCAATATTAGTAAAGCAAGCCTTCATAAATATTCAAACAATTTTTTTTAATTTTCAAAATGATTGTTTTGTTCCAGAAATAGATAAAGTACGTGTCATACAGTTTGAATTTTTGAAATATTCAATGTTTAACCAGAAGCTACCTGTTTGTATTTCAATATTGGTTTTGTTGTTAAACTGACAGGTTTATGATAGCTTCCTCTCATACGACCTGTGAATTATTGATACAGCTTTGAATACCAGACTCATGTTGTCCTTGTAATCAAAACAGACTCATTTGGTATTCATTTCATCATTTGAATACCCAGAAATGTTTCTTTGTATCTATTCATGTCATATCATGGCTGCATGGTCAGTCACATTTTTTTCACGGATTCTTAATATCCTGATTACCCTGGAGATTTCATCGCCAGTGAAATTTACCTGATTAATGGTAATCAATACCTTCCTGGTTTTTGTATTTTCGCCAAATAATTGTGCTGCATCTCTATTTGCAGACTACTGCTAGGACGTATATGGTAGCCATGCATTTATGCTTCCATGTCTATGTCAACAAAAACACTCGGGGTAAACAGTTTCCGGGAAACACAAAATCAATGGTCAAGTGTATATGTTTTTTCGTTATTGTCTTTGGTTCCTTTCCGGCAGCTCCAGCCAGTTGGACATACAGTTTAGCTACAGACTAATTGGTATAAATCAACATTGATCACTCTGCCTTTTGTATGGCAGTAACACAGACCGATTTTATAGAAAAACACCAAATACAGGGCTATATTTAACGTTCCTGCAGGTTTTAGCAACTTTTATTACGCAGACTGACAAAAGTGTCTCCTGTCCTGCCCTGTAGGTATTGGAGAATCTGGTGAGGCCACTAACTGTGAAAAGATTCTCTTTGACACGGACTGCAGTTAATGCTGTCATTTTTTTTTTATACTTTTGTAAATTTAATTATAGTGTTGATATTCTAGTCCTTAGCAATCACAAGTTGAGGGGGAATTTATGATTGTGTTGAAATTGTATTTCACCATTTGTCTCTATTCTTGTTAATGTACCTGATATTTTCCATAGCTATCAAACTCCCTCTCCAAAATTTATGCACTTATTGCCCTTTGTAGCAAACTGCTCATTCTACATCTGACGGGCGTATCATGTACCGTCTCGCGGAACTCTTGTTGGAGTTATTTTGATAGTAAACAATTGAGGAAAGCAGTTTCAGTTGCATTTCACACACTTTCTGAACCCTCATTGGAAATGTGGAATGAGGGAGATCTGCCCCGTAGGAGGTTTTAGGGGTTGACACCTTTATTTTTCAGTTTAAAAATCGTGGTGATTGGTGTCACTTCTATGTATCGGTATATTTTTGAAATGAAACATGCACTAGGATATTTTACAGAGAGGTGTATTTTAAACTTGTTTCGAAGATTTCTTATTAGCTCAGCAAAACATATACCAAAAATGATTACTGGAGAACATATTTCATCAATCTCATACAAAATGGAAACTCATTTTAGATTGAAAATTCGGTCTATGATCATGACGGAGTAATAAAGTTATATGCTGTGTGCTAACAACATTTGGGTCCAGGATATATAGATTTGTGTCCCAAAGGATGTAGCATCATTGTGTAGGTGTAGTCGTTTTATTTGGAGTATGAATTATTCTTTCGTAACAATACATAGATGACAATTATTCGGGCAGCTCTGAAGATAAGTTTTCATGGTGAGGTGTCTGTGTCAAATTGTTCCTGAGAGTAAGCTATCTGTAATGACGGTTGATATCATTGTTAGCGTCACTGACATGCAATCCTATTTGGCTTCTATTAAAAATGTCATTTTGGATGAATTAGAAATATTTGTAATCTATAATTTTGCTATTATGAAAAGATTCTTGTAACACAACCGATAAGTATTCTGTGTGATGCTAGAGTGTTTAACACAGAAACACTTATTGGTTGTGTTACAAGAATCTTTTCGTAATCCAATCAGTATATTTTTGAAATGAAACATGCACTAAGATATTTTTGTAATATATCTTAGTCCATGTCTTCAAACCTGAAGAAAATGTTTAGATATGATTTTGCTAGCTGAAGAACTTCTAAATAACAACATGTTGTCTTGAAACTTGAAATATTTTTATATGCGACGCAAGAGTGTTGAAACTTAAGTTCTTGATGCATGGTCTTCATCTATATCTTTCTGTCATTAAATGACATTGGCCATTTGAAGTTGAGATTAGTCAGCCTGAAATCGAAGACATACTGATTGAGACAACCGAAATATGTGAAAGCTTGAGAATATTGATGGTAAAGGTGTTTAAGATAAACTGAATGTTTGTTTTTGTGTTTTGTAGGAACTTAACATCAGACAGAGACAGCAGGCGTTGATGCAACATTCCTTCTTTGTACTGGAGGTGTGGCTACGAGAAGGACGTGACCTGGTGGTTAGAGACAGCTGTGGTAAGTAGTAAGGGGGTGTGGCCAAAGATAGGGGTGGACCTTACTAATTATTTACAGCTCAGTGAATGGCTGGGAGTTGGTTGTAATGGAGGTGTGGCCATAAACAGGGGTTGGACTAAGTTGTGGATGGAGGTGTGTCCCGAGAGAGGCGATGGAAACTAAGATACGTGTGAAGATGTGGCTTAAGAGATTAGAGAGAACCACTAGGGGATACAAAAGTTGGTGGAGGTGTGGCCAGGAAGAGAAGTTGTTGATTTATTTGCGGGTGAAGCCAATTGGCCTGAGAGAGAAAGGGGCTTAATTTGGGGATGGAGGCGTGGCTTCAGAGAGATGAAGAGTTTTAGTTGTGAGTGGAGTTGTGTACCTAGATGGATGGAACTTAGTATTGAGTGAAGTTGTGGCCTGAGAGAAAGGGGTGGGACTTAGTTATAAAATGGAAGTGTTGCCTAAGGGAGAAGATTGGGGGATTGTGGCTTAGTTGCCAATGGAGGTGTCACACAGTCCGGAGAGAAAAGAGGGGGCTTGGTAGTGGATGGAAGGTTTAGTCACAGAGAGATAGAGATGCAAAATGTTTTATAAAAAGGGGTGTTGATTTAGACAGGAACATGACTTGGTTGTTGATGTTGCTCAATAAAAGAGCAATTTGTGTAATGAATGTCTAAAGACTGTATACAGATGATAAAGAAAGTAGTTACCCAAGCAAAGAGCCACAGTGTATTGTGTGATGGTGGGAAGAGCCACAGTGTAGTGTGTGATGGTGGGAAGAGCCACAGTGTAGTGAGTGATGTAGGGAAGAGCCACAGTGTAGTGTGTAATGTAGGGAAGAGCCACAGTGTAGTGTGTGATGGGGGGAAGAGCCACAGTGTAGTGTGAGATGGTGGGAAGAGCCACAGTGTGGTGTGTGATGGTGGGGAGAGCCACAGTGTAGTGGGTGATGGTGGGAAGAGCCACAGTGTAGTGGGTGATGGTGGGAAGAGCCACAGTGTGGTGTGTGATGGTGGGGAGAGCCACAGTGTAGTGGGTGATGGTGGGAAGAGCCACAGTGTGGTGTGTGATGGTGGGGAGAGCCACAGTGTAGTGGGTGATGGTGGGAAGAGCCACAGTGTGGTGTGTGATGGTGGGGAGAGCCACAGTGTAGTGGGTGATGGTGGGAAGAGCCACAGTGTAGTGGGTGATGGTGGGAAGAGCCACAGTGTAGTGGGTGATGGTGGGAAGAGCCACAGTGTAGTGTATGATGGTGGGAAGAGCCACAGTGTAGTGTGTTATGGTGGGAAGAGCCACAGTGTAGTGTGTTATGGTGGGAAGAGCCACAGTGTAGTGTGTTATGGTGGGAAGAGCCACAGTGTAGTGTGTTATGGTGGGAAGAGCCACAGTGTAGTGTGTAATGGTGGGAAGAGCCACAGTGTAGTGTGTGATTGTGGGAAGAGCCACAGTGTAGTGTGTGATGGTGGGAAGAGGCACAGTGTAGTGTGTGATGTAGGGAAGAGCCCCAGTGTAGTGTGTGATGGTGGGAAGAGCCCCAGTGTAGTGTGTGATGGTGGGAAGAGCCTCAGTGTAGTGTGTGATGGTGGGAAGAGCCTCAGTGTAGTGTGTGATGGTGGGAAGAGCCTCAGTGTAGTGTGTGATGTTGGGAAGAGCCACAGTGTAGTGTGTGATGGAGGGAAGAGCCACAGTGTAGTGTGTGATGGCGGGAAGAGCCACAGTGTAGTGTGTGATGGGGGGAAGAGCCACAGTGTAGTGTGTGATGTCGGGAAGAGTCACAGTGTATTGTGTGATGGTGGGAAGAGCCACAGTGTAATTTGTGATGGTGGGAAGAGCCACAGTGTAGTGGGTGATGGTGGGAAGAGCCACAGTGTGGTGTGTGATGGTGGGAAGAGCCACAGTGAAGTGTGTGATGGTGGGAAGAGCCACAGTGTGGTGTGTGATGGTGGGGAGAGCCACAGTGTAGTGGGTGATGGTGGGAAGAGCCACAGTGTAGTGGGTGATGGTGGGAAGAGCCACAGTGTGGTGTGTGATGGGGGGAAGAGCCACAGTGTAGTGTGTGATGGGGGGAAGAGCCACAGTGTAGTGTGAGATGGTGGGAAGAGCCACAGTGTGGTGTGTGATGGTGGGGAGAGCCACAGTGTAGTGGGTGATGGTGGGAAGAGCCACAGTGTGGTGTGTGATGGGGGGAAGAGCCACAGTGTAGTGTGTGATGTTGGGAAGAGCCACAGTGTAGTGTGTGATGGCGGGAAGAGCCACAGTGTAGTGTGTGATGGGGGGAAGAGCCACAGTGTAGTGTGAGATGGTGGGAAGAGCCACAGTGTGGTGTGTGATGGGGGGAAGAGCCACAGTGTAGTGTGTGATGGTGGGCAGAGCCACAGTGCGGTGTGTGATGGTGGGAAGAGCCACAGTGTGGTGTGTGATGGTGGGAAGAGCCACAGTGTGGTGTGTGATGGTGGGGAGAGCCACAGTGTAGTGGGTGATGGTGGGAAGAGCCACAGTGTGGTGTGTGATGGTGGGGAGAGCCACAGTGTAGTGGGTGATGGTGGGAAGAGCCACAGTGTGGTGTGTGATGGGGGGAAGAGCCACAGTGTAGTGTGAGATGGTGGGAAGAGCCACAGTGTAGTGTGGGATGGTGGGAAGAGCCACAGTGTAGTGTGAGATGGTGGGAAGAGCCACAGTGTGGTGTGTGATGGTGGGGAGAGCCACAGTGTAGTGGGTGATGGTGGGAAGAGCCACAGTGTAGTGGGTGATGGTGGGAAGAGCCACAGTGTAGTGAGTGATGTAGGGAAGAGCCACAGTGTAGTGTGTAATGTAGGGAAGAGCCACAGTGTAGTGTGTAATGGTGGGAAGAGCCACAGTGTAGTGTGAGATGGTGGGAAGAGCCACAGTGTGGTGTGTGCTGGTGGGAAGAGCCACAGTGTAGTGTGTGATTGTGGGAAGAGCCACAGTGTAGTGTGAGATGGTGGGAAGAGCCACAGTGTGGTGTGTGATGGTGGGAAGAGCCACAGTGTGGTGTGTGATGGGGGGAAGAGCCACAGTGTAGTGTGAGATGGTGGGAAGAGCCACAGTGTGGTGTGTGATGGTGGGGAGAGCCACAGTGTAGTGGGTGATGGTGGGAAGAGCCACAGTGTGGTGTGTGCTGGTGGGAAGAGCCACAGTGTAGTGTGTGATTGTGGGAAGAGCCACAGTGTAGTGTGTGATGGCGGGAAGAGCCACAGTGTAGTGTGTGATGGGGGGAAGAGCCACAGTGTAGTGTGTGATGGGGGGAAGAGCCACAGTGTAGTGTGAGATGGTGGGAAGAGCCACAGTGTGGTGTGTGATGGGGGGAAGAGCCACAGTGTAGTGTGAGATGGTGGGAAGAGCCACAGTGTAGTGTGTTATGGTGGGAAGAGCCACAGTGTAGTGTGTCATGATGGGAAGAGCCACAGTGTAGTGTGTGATGGGGGGAAGAGGCACAGTGTAGTGTGTGATGGTGGGAAGAGCCTGAGTGTAGTGTGTGATGGTGGGAAGAGCCACAATGTAGTGTGTGATGGTGGGAAGAGCCACAATGTAGTGTGTGATGGTGGGAAGAGCCACAGTGTAATTTGTGATGGTGGGAAGAGCCACAGTGTAGTGTGGGATGGTGGGAAGAGCCACAGTGTAGTGTGAGATGGAGGGAAGAGCCACAGTGTAGTGTGTGATGGTGGGAAGAGCCACAGTGTAATTTGTGATGGTGGGAAGAGCCACAGTGTAGTGTGTGATGGTAGAAAGAAAACTACAAAGGTGAAGAAACAATAAATAGGATTCCGGAGGTGTGTTCTGAGGCTTCACAGATAGGTGGTCGAGAAATTTCTATTTGATATTTGAAGGTTTTCTCCACTAACATGAAAACAAATATTATATTGCAATTCAATATTGCTCTTTCTTTTTCTTTTATCATAATGGGGGTTTCATTTGTGCTTTTAAAAGAATTGTCTAGTTTCCTATAAAGTTAAAAATGCTTCAATTGATTACAAATTAGTATTGCAGTATGGTTAGCTGTGGTGCGGAGAAGGTTTTTTGCAATCGTATACTTGAGTCATGGACATTTTCTTTCCAGACATATTGGATATAGAGATGTACAGTTTAAGGGAATTGAATTTTGCTATTGTATTGGAGTTTGTCTGAGGAAACACAATCAATATGCGGCAAAAAATCCCACTGCAATTCTTTTTGACTTTTCATTTCTCATATAAGTTCAAGAGTGAAAACCTTAGGTGATGAAAATATTTTAACTTGCTTATTTCTCTTTATAAAGACGTAAAACAATTTATTTTCATTATCAGGAAAGTAAGTAAAGGGACATGGTGATTCTGATGTATTCATTTTCAAATAGCTGAGATCGCTAACTTCTCTGTGAAAAAGGAGAAATTGAGCACTCATCATTTAACCCAACCTACTTATAGAACAGCTTCACTAGATTGTACCTCTAAATCCATAAAACGCATTGATGAAGGTGTAGAAATCCCACCAGCGGATCAACTAATCAGTTCGCTGACAGACCCGTTCTAATTGAATATTCAATGGAATAACTTGGTATATCAATAATGATCTCCGGAGCTGACTTAACTCCTGGTACGACCATTACATTGAGGCACGCATGCGACAGGAAGGTTACCAGACGCAAAGTTACGAGTATAAACTATAATCTCCGTGATGTCAGACTATGTAGGCGTGGACCTCTGTCTGTAATTAAAATAAACAAAAGCTTGCTGTACCATCTGTTTTTGGGGATGAGTTTTTGTGTTGTTTAAATGCTATAAAAACATTATTACGATTTCCACGGGAATTGCTCATGACAGTGCAAAACTTTGTTTATTGTGATTTTGTTGATGTTTACGCCCTGTCCAAACAACAGCATTACTGTTGGAATATTGTCCTTGTTGACGTAGTCCTGTACTAACAACACCACGACTGTCTGAATAATGTTAAAATATTTATCATTTTTAATTTGGATTCATAATTTGGGTTCATCCACATAGCTGTTATTATAATCTATTAATCCATAGATCTACAATATCATATTCCTGAAAAAGAAAGAATATTTATTTCCCATGTCGGCGATCTTAACCAGAATACAGCATTTCCCATGAGAATGTTGAAGATGAATAATATACAATAGCTCATATACAATATCTCATATACAATATATATCTCATATACAATATCTCATATACAATATATATCTCATATACAATATCTCATATACAATAGCTCATATACAATATCTCCTATACAATATATATCTCATATACAATATCTCATATACAATATATATCTCATATACAATATCTCATATACAATATCTCATTAATAATACACATGATACACATAGTGTATACCGGGACATTTTTGCCCAGTCTAATTTTTGCCCCCACCCACCGGTAAAATTCATATACACCAAGTGTTAATTTCGCCCTTCCATTTTGTTACTATGTATACTATGTTGTTTACTAATGTTCGATGTAGTAATTAATTTGCCCTCAACATGGAGGGCAAAAAAAGCGAAAAACTGCAGGGAAATTTTTCGCAGTATACAGTACTATTTTTCAATCTTTCTTGTAGCTGTGATTTTGTTTATGTCTGACAGGTACCAGTGACCCCTACGTGATTTTGTTTATATCTGACAGGTACCAGTGACCCCTACGTGAAGTTCAAGATCGGAAATAAACAGCACTATAAATCTAAGACTGTGTACAAGAACCTGAACCCCCAGTGGGATGAGCGACTATCTATTCCTATAGAGGATGTGTACCGACCTGTCAACGTCAAAGTGTTCGACTATGACCGTGGCATCAGTGATGACCCCATGGGGTCAGCGGAGATTGACCTCACTACGCTGGAACTCAACACGTAGGTACCTCTAGTAATGAGAACACACTGAACACAAGACTAATGTGTATGGAGGAACTGTAACAGTTTGGTTCAGTTAAACTTTTGTCTTTTGCTGGTAAAATCTGTATTCGGTCAGTATTAATTTTGCCCTTTACATCTGATTACCATGTCTGCGGCAATAAATTCACCTTTATTACAGACGGCAAAAAAGCAAAAATTGACCTGCGACAAACATTTCCTGGTATACAGTGTTGTCATGGCCATTGAGAATAGTGTTATTGGCATAGCCTTTGACTGCATGGGTTTTTATGACTTTTCCTTGCCCATTATTATAATGCTCTTTGACTTTGAAAATAAGTCCTTGACCTTTAATTGTGACTGACATTGACCTTGACATTTAGTCTCAACCATAAGATCTTCCAGACAAATGGTCCTAATGGACATTTCCTTTAACTATTGATTGTATTTGACCTTTGACCTTTGATTTTCATAAACTTTCATTTAATCATCATAGATGTTTAACCTTGACCTTTGACAGCTCCCAAGTGAACATTTTATATTTAATGTTGGTGACCTTACATAAATATCGCTGGTAATTATATACCCCAGCAAACGAATGTTACCTAGGTAAACTGGAATAGCCCTGTCTAGCCATATGTTACAAGACACATTGGTTTGCCTACCGTAGCATGAGTTCCTATTCAGCTGTGTTTATCAAGTGTAAAGAGTAATCCTATTCGTTTTTAAGTCAAAGGTCAAGGTCATCGTGACATTTAGGGTGAAAACTGTTCCTGAAGTCTTCAGGTAGCCTGTGTTTCTATTAAGATCCTTCCAATTTTAAACAGGATGATGACCCATAGGGTGAGGAAGAATAACTAATGCTTTTTGGGGAAAAAGTTGAAGATGCAAAACTGATCTCTTTACTCTTAATGGAGTAGTTTTTTAAAAAAGCTTCTCGGACCATAAATTTACACAGGATGACTATCCAGGGGTTTACAAAAAAAATATTGATTTTAGGAACCTTAGCTGATAGAAGGTCAAAGTCATATTTAAATTATTTGGTCTTTAAAAGAGCATTCAGATCAGAGTAGTGTCTGCTTTGCTCAACAGTCTTGTTTAGTTTCCAGTTACAACATCAGTAATTAATTTTGAGACACCTTAAACAGTAGAATCTTAAACTGACACTTCAAACAGAAGATATCTTGAACTGACACCTTAAACAGTAGATATCTTGAACCGACACCTTAAACAGTAGATATCTTGAACTGACATCTTAAACAGTAGAATCTTTAACTGACACCTTGAACAGTAGAATCTTGAACTGACACCTTAAACAGTAGATATCTTGAAATGACACCTTAAACAGTAGATATCTTGAACTGACACCTTAAACAGACGGTATCTTGAACTGAAACCTTGAACAGTAGATATCTTGAACTGACACCTTAAACAGAAGGTATCTTGAACTGACACCTTAAACATTAGATATCTTGAACTGACACCTTAAACAGTAGAATCCTGCGCAGACACCTTAAACAGTAGAATCTTAAACTGACACTTCAAACAGAAGATATCTTGAACTGACACCTTAAACAATAGAATCTTGAACTGACACCTTAAACAGTAGATATCTTGGACTGACACCTTAAACAGTAGAATCCTGAGCAGACACCTTAAACAGTAGGATCTTGAACAGACATCTTAAACAGTAGAATCTTGAACTGACCCCTTAAACAGTAGATATCTTGAACTGACGCCTTAAACAGTAGATATCTTGAACTGACACCTTTAACAGTAGATATCTTGAACTGACACCTTAAACAGACGGTATCTTGAACTGAAACCTTGAACAGTAGATATCTTGAACTGACACCTTAAACAGAAGGTATCTTGAACTGACACCTTAAACATTAGATATCTTGAACTGACACCTTAAACAGTAGAATCTTAAACTGACACCTTAAACAGTAGATATCTTCAACTGACACCTTAAACAGAAGAATCTTAAACTGACAACCTGAACGATAGAATCTTGAACAGACATCTTAAACAGTAGAATCCTGAGCAGACACCTTAAACAGTAGGATCTTAAACTGACACCTTAAACAGTAGATATCTTCAACTGACACCTTAAACAGAAGAATCTTAAACTGACAACCTGAACGATAGAATCTTGAACAGACATCTTAAACAGTAGAATCCTGAGCAGACACCTTAAACAGTAGGATCTTGAACAGACATCTTAAACAGTAGAATCTTGAACTGACCCCTTAAACAGTAGATATCTTGAACTGACACCTTTAACAGTAGATATCTTGAACTGACACCTTAAACAGACGGTATCTTGAACTGAAACCTTGAACAGTAGATATCTTGAACTGACACCTTAAACAGAAGGTATCTTGAACTGACTCCTTAAACAGTAGATATCTTGAACTGACACCTTTAACAGTAGATATCTTGAACTGACACCTTAAACAGAATGTATCTTGAACTGACACCTTAAACAGTAGATATCTTGGACTGACACCTCAAACAGTAGATATCTTGAACTGACACCTTAAACAGACGGTATCTTGAACTGACACCTTGAACAGTAGATATCTTGAACTGACACCTTAAACAGAAGATATCTTGAACTGACACCTTAAACAGTAGAATCCTGCGCAGACACCTTAAACAGAAGAATCCTAAACTGACACCTTAAACAGTAAATATCTTAAACTGACACCTTACACAGTAGAATCTTAAACTGACACCTTAAACAGAAGATATCTTGAACTGACACCTTAAACAATAGAATCTTGAACTGACACCTTAAACAGTAGATATCTTGGACTGACACCTCAAACAGTAGATATCTTGAACTGACACCTTAAACAGAAGGTATCTTGAACTGACACCTTAAACAGTAGATATCTTCAACTGACACCTTAAACAGAAGAATCTTAAACTGACAACCTGAACGATAGAATCTTGAACAGACATCTTAAACAGTAGAATCTTGAACTGACCCCTTAAACAGTAGATATCTTGCACTGACACCTTAAACAGTAGATATTTTGAACTGACACCTTAAACAGAATGTATCTTGAACTGACACCTTAAACAGTAGATATCTTCAACTGACACCTTAAACAGAAGAATCTTAAACTGACAACCTGAACGATAGAATCTTGAACAGACATCTTAAACAGTAGAATCCTGAGCAGACACCTTAAACAGTAGGATCTTGAACAGACATCTTAAACAGTAGAATCTTGAACTGACCCCTTAAACAGTAGAATCCTGAGCAGACACCTTAAACAGTAGGATCTTGAACAGACATCTTAAACAGTAGAATCTTGAACTGACCCCTTAAACAGTAGATATCTTGAACTGACACCTTTAACAGTAGATATCTTGAACTGACACCTTAAACAGAAGATATCTTGAACTGACACCTTAAACAATAGAATCTTGAACTGACACCTTAAACAGTAGATATCTTGAACGACACCTTAAGCAGAAGATATCTTGAACTGAGACCTTAAACAGTAGATATCTTGAACTGACACCTTAAGCAGAAGATATCTTGAACTGACACCATAAACAGTAGATATCTTGAACTGACACCTTAAACAGAAGGTATCTTGAACTGACACCTTAAACATTAGATATCTTGAACTGACACCTTAAACAGTAGAATCTTGAACTGACACCTTAAAAAAAGTTGAATCTTGAACTGACACCTTAAACAGTAGAATCTTAAACTGACACCTTAAACAGTAGATATCTTGAACAGTAGATATCTTTATTTAAGACATTTTGAACATTACATTTCGTGAACTTTAAACATCAGCCTTATTCCTGGTGTGACAGAGTTCTCCTTTCTATATTTAGTCTAGTAATGGATGTCATTTATTAAACTGCAGTCGTAAAGTTCATCACGTTTCGTTCACTTCGTGGGCTGTGATTCATTTGTATAACCGTAGCATGCAGTGATTTTGTTATGAAGACGACATAAGGATTCGTTATTTGGTCGAGTAGAAATGTCAATATTATACATTTAATGTATTTGGGATGTTTCTCTTGCTGTCAGCATTCTGACCTCAATGCTGAGCTGATAATGGCATTATCTGGCCGAACCGTGCTTTGTCCTTTCTCCCAAGCTAGCTGTCAAAGTCCATCCGCAGAGATGTTCTGTCGGAACAACAGCTTGCAAAGTGCTATGTCAGCGTGTTGTCAACAGAAATCTGTCCAGATTATCTCAGAGTCGGAATTTTAGTATCTGTTAGGTAGAACTGTTAACTCGAATATATAAATCGGTGATTGCTGACAGCGTTTAATATGGTGATTTATTAGCACGAAAGATGGATATAAGACACACGGACGTGATTACACATATAAAATAGGGTATGATACAGTATGCTAAAAAAGGAATTACGCTGTATCATACAGCTGTTTCGGCCTTGTAGGACTCATCGATAATGTTTTGAGCGAACAAGATGGAAATTTAATCCAAAAATTGATCTGAACTATTGTTGAAACAGACGGGCAGGTGTTCAAAAACATGAAGTAAGAGGATAAATTTAATTGGGAAAGCCACATGTAAGTTCAAGTGGTTGAAATCACAGGTTTGGTTTGAGTTAAATTTGAGATTTCGTTATGTCTAAAGGTCCTTTTTCACTAGGTATGTTGGAGTGAATACGGTCTGTCAGATACCCTATATAAAATGTATTGAGTTCTCCATTCTGTAATAGAGTACTGCTGGCACGGAGTACAGTTTCACATGTATATAAATTGTATAGAGTTTACCGTTCTGTACATGGAGTTGTCTTAGCAAATCTGCTCAAGAATACAATCTGGACATACATATGAGTTGCATAGAGTTCTCGTTCTGTACATTGACTGGTAGTATATGGGACCTGAATACAGTCCAACATGTACAGAAATTGTATAGAGTCCTCCGATCTGTATTTGGAATGACTAGAGATGTTTGGATGAGGAGTGTGGGCTACCGGTACCTAAGTAGTGATTATCAGAGCTCGCTACTAATTTTTGGTACAGATTATTGATTGTAAGGTAGCAGTTTGTGATTGGTGCCTGTCTGTGGTCATCACTGTGTCTAATTTTTTGATTGGTTTACCACACTACATAACAATATTCTAAAGCCATATTTAAATCCATACAATGAAATACTGTTACTATTTTCTAGTATGAATGATTAACAATTATTTCCCACATACGTAACACTGCTAGCAAGCTAAGGTAGGTTTTCATATAAAAAAGTCCAAGTAGATGTTAAAAACGTCAAATGTAACTGTTTTTTGACCCAATCTTTATGATAGGCAGACAACTTGTCAAGAATAGCTAAGTTTTGAGATGATGAGATTTTATTTCTTCAAACGAGTTCTGAATATCAATTATGTTACCTTAGGGGTAAAGATTATTCATTTTCCTGCCTCTGTCTCCCAGAGGGAATTGATTGGTGCTCAGTCATAAATATTTAAGCAGACAAACAAAACAGTTAAACTCCTCGGCAATTGTTCCACGCACGATTAGCTTAACGTAAACTTAACACAAAATTTAAAGCCAGTTTATTTTCAAAATCACTGAAATTCAAAACCAAATTTTATTTATCAGGATTCAAAATGTTCTGCTAATGACAATGAACACAAACATATTTGTAATTTTTTATTCAGTTGTCAAAATTCCATTTTGAAAATTTTGGTTAAAGACTTGCAAGCTAATCCTCCAAGGTTTTAACAACTGGGCTTGGTTTAGAAACACATATCTAGTTTGTCTTTCAATCTTCCCTTGGATTTATCATAGAAATATTTGACATGTATAACCGGAAATGGACCTGTCTGATCAGCAATAGAAAACGAAATGAAACTTTCCTTGTTACCGTGGAAATCTTTTCTATTTTTAGGTCACCTGAGACAAAGTCTCAAGTGACCTATTGCGATCGCCTTTTGTCCGTCGTCGTCCCTCGTCCCTCGTGCGTCCATAAACAATTTACATTTTCGACTTCTTCTCCAAAACCCCTGAACCAATTTCAATNAATAACTTGATTGGAATTATAACCTTGAATTGACAGTTTGATACTTTGAAAATTTTGAGCCAGCCCTACCCCTAAGGGCTGTAGGGTGGGGCTCAAAGGAGTCAGTGTGCTAAAATTTCTTCATTTTCCTTGTTAAGAATCAGAGGTGCTAGTTTCAAATCCTTTTTAGTCTGAAATCTGTATGCTAGATATTGAGTAAGGTGGTTTTATTGTTTTTTTGTCACTTTGAATAATATTTCTGTTCATGTTAAAAACAAAATCAACTCTCTGTATAAATATATCAGGTGACCGTTAAGGCCCATGGGCCTCTTGTTTAATTGATCTGGGTTTCTTTTATTGATTAGATGGTTGACTTTGACCTTGACTTGATTGTCTGAAGGAGATATTTTAATTTCTTTTTGTCTGGGATGTGATTTACACTAGATAGACAGTTAATTGTCTGGTCAGACCCAACAAACTCTAGCTGCGCTCCACAAGTTGATTTCTACAAGTGGGAATTGTCATTAATTTCTGCCTGGCCCGACAGCTGCTCCCAAACGTACTTCCAGATCGGTAATATTTACATCCTCAGAGATATGCACCGTTACGTACTGTCATATACACAAACAAAGTCTTTAACAGGTTTGAGATTCCCAGGACATCATGGTCTTCCTTTCTCGGCCATTGACCCAACCAAGTGAGTCAAGAGTAAAGTAATGGTAGAACAAACACAAGAAGAAAATAACAGAACCCCTACCTTATATGAAAAACAAGTCTAATGGAAACTATTCCCACTTTGGGAGTAAGACAATAAAAAACCTAAACCCGAGGGGTAAGATTCTTTAATGTCTAGCCCAAGACTTTGCCTAGGCCCAAGCACTTAAAAATATTACCCTTTCAGTTGAGATTTTTCTGTCTTATTTCCAGAGTGAAGAATGATTTTTTTTCTGCTATTTCAAAAGTGGTGATGGCTTGAAACACAAACATTGATAACTTGAGTTTCCAGGAAAACCATTGATCTGCTATTCTTGACGTGAATCAATACTTTGTTGACATGCCGTCGTACCAATATTATGAATGGGAAATCTCCTCGTCTTTACTCTTAGACAGAAATCCTTTTCCTGGCAAGAATTGTGAATTGTAGGGAGGGGGGATAGATTGGGCACCAAAACATAAAGGGGAAGAAAATATATATGAACACACATAAAATAAAACGACAGAAAGACCAGGTGCATCAGATGATTTATCATTTCCTGTACAATATTCAAGCACTTGTCTTACTGTCTCAAGTCAAATCTATTTAGCTACAAAAAATAAACAACTATAAGGATGGAGTACTTTTATTAAAATCTCAGAAGGAAGAAAGAAAGTAACATACTTTGTCAAATGCCAGAATTACATCGGAAGATAGTTGGCAGCTACCTATCATGGTTATTTTAGACTTGTAATAATTGGTCTTATCCCTAAAGGATGCATGCCTTTAACAGCCAAGTGTAAGGATTGCTCTTATCCCTAAAGGATGCATGTCCTTTACAGCCCAGTGTAAGGATTGCTCTTACCCTCAAAGGATGCATGTCCTTAACAGTCCACGGTGTAAGGATTGCTCTTACCCTCAAAGGATGCATGTCCTTAACAGCCCAGTGTAAGGATTGCTCTTATCCCTAAAGGATGCATGTCCTTAACAGTCCGCAGTGTAAGGATTGCTCTTACCCTCAAAGGATGCATGTCCTAAACAGCCCAGTGTAAGGATTGCTCTTATCCCTAAAGGATGCATGCCCTTAACAGCCCAGTGTAAGGATTGCTCTTACCCTCAAAGGATGCATGTCCTTAACAGCCCAGTGTAAGGATTGCTCTTATCCCTAAAGGATGCATGCCCTTAACAGCCCAGTGTAAGGATTGCATCAGTCTTGCAAGGATTGTTGTTGTCATGTAAGGATTGGCTTGCTCCTTGCCCTTTAAGGATTTTCCTAACTCTATAAGGATTTTGCTTACCCTTTAAGAAGTGCCTTAGTCTTGCAAAGATTGTTCTTGCCCTTTAAGGATGGTTTTGCCCTGTAAGGATTGTTCTTGCTCTGTAAGGCTATTTGTTGACCTGGACATGTTGCTTTTGCCCTGTACTTTTTGTTCTTGCCTGTAAGGATTTCCCTAGTTCTCTATTGTTCTTGTCCTATAAGGTCTGTTCTTGCCCTGTAAGGATTTCCCTAGTTCTCTATTGTTCTTGTCCTATAAGGTCTGTTCTTGCCCTGTAAGGATTTCCCTAGTTCTCTATTGTTCTTGCCCTATAAGGTCTGTTCTTGCCCTGTAAGGATTTCCCTACTCCTCTATTGTTCTTGCCCGATAAGGTTTGTTCTTGCCTTGTGAGGATTTCCACTAAGCCCTGAAAGTATCCCCCTGCCCTATAAGGTTTGTTCTTGCCTTGTAAGGATTTCTACTAAGACCTGAAAGTATCCCCCTGCCTTATAAGGTTTGTTCTTGCCTTGTGAGGATTTCCACTAAGCCCTGAAAGTATCCCCCTGCCCTATAAGGTTTGTTCTCCCGTTTATGATTGCCCAAGCCCTGTAAGAATCAGCCTAGCTCTGCAGTTATCCTTAGCGGTAATATTTTATACCACAATCAGTTCCTTTAGACACTTATCCATTTTATTTGTTTCTAACCAATAGCATACCTAGGGTACTGTACTGTTTACCAAGATTCCTCATTTGTCGCAATGTATTCTTATTATGGATACTTCCTACTTTATCTGTATTGTAATAACTGAAAGTGAACTTTTATGGTAGTTCTATTTCTAAAAATAAAACCATCTTCTGGTTATGTGATAATACGCCACGTTTTATTGCAGTTCGTTTAGAAAAGTTGCTGGTAATCACATGAGGGTCTCTTTGCCTCAGCAATGCTTTTATTCAATCGGAAACTCTCAATATCAAATCGTAATAGATACAGCCCACATAGGGAACTTCCTGTAATATTGGCAGACTGCATTTCACTGCTAACTGCTGGAAATGGTTTATTTACATGTCCGTATGATCATGCAGCTTGTCTGGATTTCAGGACAGATCTTTCCTTTAGACACAAGCCAATTGTCTTTATAAATCCAAGGCAGCTCATAGTTAGAAAACATTGCTTTCATTGGAAATCAAATATCACTGGCAGGCATACACTTTTCTTTGGACAAAAATGTATCGGATGATGAAAAAGAGGAGCGTTGATAGTAAGCTGATCAGTCTTCTACAAAGGACAAAAATCATGTGTGATTGAAAAAGCTAATATAACAGGATAAAATGTGTTTCGTTTTATTTTTCTAGTAATTTTGTTAACTTTATGTTCGAATTGCCTATTCGATGTTCAGTATCGTCCTGAATTACGGTATTTATCATCATGCATGACACTAATGTTAGAGATACTTCACAGGTTTACTAGAATTCCCCCTCCCACCTCACCAGTACTACCAGAGATCATCCATTCTCTTGGGTATTCTCATATACTCTGTTATCTACAATTGCCAAGTTCCTTATGCGAGTACTTGTAGGGATGGTAAAGTATCACCGAGACTGGGTCTGATGTTCCATTTTATACAGAGTTATGGCCCTTTGTTTATAATGCCTGACTTTGGCCTCAATTATATCTCATATACCTGCCATCTACAATTGCCAAATTTTGTATACAAGTACCTCTTTGGATGAAGGAGAGTTGCTTACTGAAATTGGGTCTTGCTCCCCTCTGTTTACAGAGTTGTTGCCCTTTGTTTATTATTTACGTAGAAGTTTGTCCAGAGGAAAGTACTAAATGGATTGCTCAAAACAGTTTGCTGTGTTGTTAAGTGAATTTTCATCATGTACATTTCTGTAAACATTTTCATGAATGTGTATAAAACATTAATCACATGTAAATATTTGAAAAGCATAGAATTAATACATTATCTTGTTTATTTCAGGGCAACAGATCTTAAGCTTCCTCTGGCAGACGGTGGTAAGAATGAAGAGTACATGGGCTATCTCGTGCTACAGTGTACATTGACGCCGAAGACCATCCAGGAAAAGGAAACGGTGAGTCGTCACATCTGTAGTTTCTCCATAATTCTCTATTGTGGGATTCATATGTTATATGTGATTTTAACTTACAAGTCCAAGTGTCTCATAAAGAACAGGTTTCTTCATGTGGAGCTCTTTTAAAAAGGAGGAGCAATTATCTCTGTAAATTAACGTTTATCCTTTACAAACTTCCGTTATATTTGGTGGTGGGTAGGGGTGGAGGGCAGCATAGTGTTACCCGATGTCTGTCCGATTCCTTGTGATTCATTGACCCTTCTCAATATTCATCAAAGTTTATACAAAGGTCAAGTATCAGAATACCAGGATGAGTTCATATTTCAAGGTCACTGTGCTATTTCTATTTCAACAACAGGGTCAAATGGGCATCTATGTCTTAGAGATGTTTTCTGAAGTAAAACTAGTAATCAGTTTGTTCACTTTGGAATGAAAATATATCTATTGAATTTCAACTGCAGTACAATTTAGTAGTTTCGAAAAAATGTAGGGAAAACAATTCATTTCTTTTGTAATGAATAGGAGAATCTGACGCATTTAAAACTTTTCTTTAAACAAATCCTTGTTAGTTAAAGAGGAAATCCTTGCAGAGTCAGTTCACTATATATACACCTACAATCTTTTCTTTCCTGTACTTGCAAATTGCTGTAAATAACAAAACCCTGTTAGAATTGTCTCTGAGTAGGCTGTATGACATTTGACTTGATGCAGTAGTTGTGCTGTGGGTATAAGGGATGTATATATATATATAGCGACACTGACATTTAAGGATCCTCGTACCACAGCTAAAAACTAATGAAGTTATTGAAGCTCTTTTTTCCCCGGCATGGCTATAGCTCTGATAGACCATTTCTGACTAGAGAAGCATACACGGCGGGACTTTAAGGAGGAATAATAAAGATGAAATGAACAAAATATAATCAATAAAATTGTTTGAAGTGTAAAAAATACAGCGGGCTAAACTGGGATTCGAACCCTGAATTTCAGGTTGTTTTACCATCACTAATCAATTGAGCTACCTGGTCAGCAGAAGTGTCCTGGCCCAACTGTGTTACAGTTATATCCAAACAAAAGTTAAAGGGAAGGTTATTGAATGTTTAACCCCTTCACCACTCTAGACCATAATGGACTCATCCATATCAATGCATGGTAAAGTCTACTGAAGTTACGTAGGGGCGAAAGGGTTAAGGAAAAACTACAGTGCAGTGGGACAGGGATCCTTAATGAGATTGCTCAGTAGTCGATGACTTGGTGCTAAATCACAGGTAGGATGTCATGTATCAATTTGTTCAAATGGTAGCAATTCATATGGCATGGCACCATTATAATAGGAGATAAATGTCATCCTAACAGAATTGATCCAGGATGTTCAGACTTTAAGTCTGCTAGATACAGATCTAGAACAGACATTAATGAGAGAAGGTGGTAAAGACGGGGTTACTGATTTGTGAGGGTATACAGGGAAGGAGACAGAGGTCGCTAATTATGTGATTGCCCCCGAGGGAGAGATGTATTCCATCCGTACCCCAACAATTAACTGTACACCTTGTAAAGTGGCAATTCATGTAGTAGGGAATAATTGTAGTTATAGATTGGCTGCACTCTCTAAGGGGAGGTAAAAGTCTTCTTTAAAATAATCGATGACAAAACTTTGATGTATGATTTTGCACTATTGAAAGGTGAGTGCTTGTAGATCATAGCACCACCATTATAAAGATGTCATTTAGTGATGTACAGCTTCATGCTTGGCATCCTGGAGAGGGAGAGGGCTTCAAGATAACACTAACATGAACATGATCGTTGGTTAGTGGCAAATGTATCTCCAATGTTTTCTGCATATAAGCTAAGGTGTTATTAGTTAGCTAGCTGTAAACACATTCTATGTGCTCTAGTGATCGAAACTCTGTGTGATATATGTGTCTTTGCCTTAATATTAACAGTAAAATATTCATTGCATAACATGATAATTTCTAAACCAGTATATGGACTCGGTGCAACTCTCATTTTATCAAGCAAGAGATTATATAACAGAAATGTTTCCACCCTACTCAAAATTTAATGTACATTGACCATGATTAGATAATTCCAATCTTTTATCATGAAGATGTTAACATGAAAAGGACCTGTTACAGGAACAAAAGAATTTTGCCCACAAAGCAATNAAAATTTCAGAAAATTTGAGAACCGGTAAATTTGTCATATAAATGTCAAATTGTAGCAACGTCTATTTCCAAATAAAATCCAACAACCTTATGACCTATAGTCATGTTTGATAATTTAACAATACGTCGCACCAATTTATTATCGCAACTGATCAAATTTTCATCAATAAGGTCTGCTGCTCATGATGAGCCCAACTATAAAGCTAGATGTTGCAAAATAAAAGGTTAGGCAGTCTCACACACATAAAAGTTTAGTATGTTATGTACATTTTTAGTTGTTTCGCATCTTTACGGAAATGATAGACATATTTCCGGTTTTTGTACACCAACATACTTTAAGTATTATTTGGCACATTATGCTGACTGACGAAAGCAGAAATTTCGAAAAAAATGGTAGGCGGTAAATGTGTCATCTTAAGGATAATATGTTGTATGACCAATGTCAAAATAAATCCAGTAATGGTTAAATTGCTTTGTGGGCAAAATTCTTTTGTTCCTGTAACAGGTCCTTTGAAAGATTGGAAAGGCTTTCATTATGATCAAATCTGGCATGTTATAGCATCTACACAATTGTAGTTTAATATTTGCCCTGAAGACAAATAAATGTGTGTCAAGATTGACACTTAAGATTAACCCAGATGACACCGATTTATGATACACATGTTGTGAATATGTCTTGTGGTCTTTTTCGAAAGGTTAGTAACAGCCTATGGACATGTACCTAGCAATGATTATAGCTTCAATACCCGTAGTACATTCTATGGTGATCCCCTATAGGTAAGTGGTCGAGGTAATACCTTCAAAGCTGCAGTGGTCACCTTTTATAGGTTACTTACATGTACTGCATGCCTGGAAATATTTCGCCGCGGTTTAACTTTCACCGTTTTCGCCCTTCTCAATGAGGGCGAATTTATCATGACAGTGAATATTAAGGCATATTAAACAATATGTAGTAAGTATATGTGAAGGGTGCATACAGATTTTCACAATAAACAGTTAATATTTGACCGGGTGACATTTTCACAGTATACAGTATATCTTCAACATCTTTTATGGTGACAACAGGTATTTGGTCAAAACCTGTGGTCATCTTTTATGGTGACAACATGTATTTGGTCAAAACCTGTGGTCATCTTTTATGGTGACAACATGTATTCGGTCAAATCCTGTGGTCATCTTTTATAGGTAAGTGATTTACATGTTTATACATGTACCTTCAAAACATGTGGTCATTTTATATAGGTAAGTGACATACATATATATCTCAAAAATCTTTGGTCATCTTTTATGGTGACAAACAATTGTATTCGGTCAAACCTTGTGGTCATCTTGTCGGTCAGTGACTTACAAGTATACCCTAAAGACCTGAGGTCATCTGAAGCTGTATAGATAAGTAATATAATATACAAATGTACTTTCATCTCCTTTACCTATAGCAATAATAATACTTTGAAAACTGATTAAATCTAAATCAAGTCTGGATTCAAGGCTAAGTGGACCAGGAGTGTCACAGCTAGGAGTCTATAGCTTTGTATTGATTCCTTTCTCCTCACAATCTGATTGTCACTAGCCCCCTTGGGTCAGTCATTGTTATACTGGCTTTTCAAATCCAGCTGAGGAATTGATGCCCAGTCGTCTCGCTTCACAACCTGTCAGCAAAAGTTCTTAAAAGAGTAATCATAAACTCTCAGGAAGGAATGATTCCATGTAAATTATTTAGTCTAATTGTATTAAAAAACTCTAAATTTCATGTTGTGAAGATCCTATTGAAGAATGGGAATTTTCCCCCTTAATCACATAAAAGGTGGATTTCGCCAAAATCATGATTGGTCCCTGTAAAGTTTCAAAGTTGTGAGCCTCAATTCTAGAACGGAAATTAGAAACGGCCTTCAGTTACATTACCACAACTAATACTGATAATTATCAAAACAGATGTCTCTTTCATCAATTTGTTTGGAAAATTGCTTTTCTTTTTGTAATCACCTAACAAAAAATTATAATTCTCTGAAGGCAAAGTTTTTAGATAAAAAGTTACAATGTAATCAAACAGACAAAAGAAAAACTAAAATCATTATTTCCAAACTGTTTCTGACATGAGATGGTTTATATTGCCTTGGTGCTAAATTTCAGCATGCCAGTAGAATTAATAGCTGTTGGTATTTGGTGTGTCCAGGATTCTTCATAATGGAACAGCAAAAACTTTCTTTCAGATTATTGTCTAAATGTCTAATATGTCATCAGTAGTACAATTTTCAGGGCTGAAATTTTAGAAGAATAAGCTCCTGTGACATGGAGACTTAAGGGTGTATGCTACCTTTCTATGACATGGATACATAAGGGTGTATGCTACCTTACTGTGACATGGAGACATAAGGATGTATGTTACCNACATGGAGACTTAAGGGTGTATGCTACCTTACTGTGACATGGAGACATAAGGGTGTATGCTACCTTACTGTGACATGGATACATAAGGGTGTATGCTACTTTACTGTGACATGGAGACTTAAGAATGTATGCTACTTTACTGTGACATGGAGACATAAGGGTATATGTTACTTTACTGTGACATGGAGCCTTAAGGATGTATGCTACCTTACTGTGACATGGAGACTTAAGGGTGTATGCTACCTTTCTATGACATGGACACATAAGGGTGTATGCTACCTTACTGTGACATGGAGCCATAAGGATGTATGTTACCTTACTGTGACATGGAGACTTAAGGATGTATGCTACTTTACTGTGACATGGAGACTTAATGGTGAATGCTACTTTACTGTGACATGGAGACATAAGGGTATATGTTACTTTACTGTGACATGGAGACTTAAAGATGTATACTACCTTACTGTGACAGTGACTTAAGGGTGTATGCTACCTTACTATGACATGGTGACTTAAGGGTGTATGATACCTTACTGTGACACGGAGACTTAAGGGTGAATGCTACCTTACTGTGACATAAAGACTTAAGGGTATATACTACCTTTATGTGACATGGAGACATAAGGATGTATGTTACCTCACTGTGACATGGAGACATAAGGATGTATGCTACCTTTCTATGACATGGAGACTTAAGGGTGTATGCTACTTTACTGTGACATGGAGCCTTAAGGATGTATGCTACTTTACTGTGACATAAAGACTTAAGGGTATATACTACCTTTATGTGACATGTAGACATAAGGGTGTATGTGGTACATGTATTACTGTGACATGGAGACTTAAGGATGTATGCTACCTTACTGTGACACGGAGACTTAAGGGTGTATACTACCTTAGCTGTGACATGGAGACTTAAGGGTGTATCATCATCAGCTTCCTTACTGTGACATGGAAATTTAAGGATATATACTACCTTTCTGGCATTTAGTCAATTACCTTCTGTTTGCTATTAGTTTTCTCTCAGATTGTGTTGGTAACTTAATTATGTCTCATTAGCAGTTACCAGTGATATAGAGACCTCGGTTCTAGTGCTGAATTTTGTTAAGTTTCAAAACAAAAACATGATACAAATTGAGTTTAGTTCTCTGGGAGAGTGAAAATAATACAGAATTGCTTTTAATTTCAAAAGCAAATCAATTGACTCAAGTGTGAAGTTGTATTGAAGCTAGATTAGCTGGAAGGGAAGACTCCAGCCTACGCAATGCATTAGTGGTGTGGCACATACAGGTACAGACAATGTGTTCCACTTCATGGTGTAGCAGATCTGTAGATTGGATTAGAAAGTTCCACCAGAACTGCCTTCACATGCTCCTAGCTTTAGACACCCTGAGGTATAATTTGGTGGTTATATAGAACATTTTATATCAGCACCTCCATTGAGCTGTTATGTTCTAACTAATGAATGGGTTTCCCTGCAGTCGACTCCCAAATCACAGATTTTATAATAAATGGAAGAGATTTATAAGTAATAAATAAAAAAAATAAGTTCTGAAACTGTAACGTTAGACAGAAACCATACAATTTTGCAGTGTCAATTTTCCCTGGAGATAATGTGAAGTTGTCGATCCATGCACTCACAGCTGAACCCTAGGGTGTCAGATAGGGCTTCCTATTTGTCATTATAGCGCCTTTTGTAGGACCTTCACTGTAGACTTCTGTATTGGCTTCCATGTCTGGTGCAACTTTAGCATTTACAGGGATCTCTGAAATACTTACTGTATCTCTTCCCACTTTTCACTATTGCACCACAGTCCACTGTACCCTGGAACCATGCTGGAACTCATATTTTCTCCCTCCTTGCCTTCATGCCATGATTAGTTTAAGTAGAACCAATGATTTCCATTCCACAGTGGTCTTCTTTTATCTACTTTGTGGGTGAGAGTAACTCCCGCTTTAGAATTACTTCGTCATTATCCCTAAGCCTCACCTTGTTAGTGCAGTGGCAGGCGATTTGTCACTACCTATGCCGCTGGCCTCCATGACATCAGTTGCCATGGTAACCAAGTCCTTGCAGCATCGCATTGTCAGGGTTTCTACCTGTGTCGTTACAGACATCATTCAAGACCAAAGGTACAGCCAAAGGAGGCGACTCCAGCAAAAAACTCAAGATGCAGATCTGGTGTGGTGTGGTGACGATAGTCTTGGTGGAGGGAAGAAACCTTGTACCTATGGATAATAATGGCTACAGTGACCCGTACGTCAAGTTCAGATTGGGTGCCGAGAAGTATAAAAGCAAGGTATGCAATCAAATACACAATGTCATGAACTTCTCTATGCATGCTCTCGTAATCTTTATATTCTAGACTGTATTTCTGTTATTGACAATTACTGATTTGTAAAATTGAAATTTATCGTAAATTCATTATTCAAGAAATTAATGTGTCCCTAAATGAGAATATTTAACATAACTGGGTTTTTTTAAGGTTCACATAAGATTTTATTTCTCAAGCATCTTTTAGGAGGGATGCCAAGGTTGGGGTGCCCCAGGTCCAACCGTCTTACATCATGTAGCCTCCTCACGCCGATGGCCTCTTTCCCTTCATTCGCTCTTCTCTTTCATTTCTTCTTTCAAGCTACCAATCATTAAATCTTTTGTTTTCATTCATTCAAATGATATTATTGTTATTATTATTTATATTTACCATAATTACTGAATTAATTGTTGTAGGTGACAAGATCGATATTAATAAAAAATTAAAAAAAAATGACTAAACAACCATAATGATATGTAAACTGAATAGTCCAATTACCAAGAATTTGTAAGCCAAGCAAAAGTCATAAAAATCCTTTGTTTAAAACAACTCTCCCTCTCTGGGACATTCCCTTAGATAGCCTTATATAATACTTAAAATAGTAAACACATTTTTCTGTCTTTAAGATATTTCTTTGGAAGCCTAACAGAATTTCTTTCTCTGCCTTAGATATCCCCATGTTGGCTTAAATACTGGTAGACACTTGCACCTTTTTCAGGGCATAGTAGACGTCTGTCATCATACCTTTTTCAGTGTAAGACCTCTACTTGTTGGCATAGTAGACGTTTGTCATCATACCTTTTTCAGTGTAAAACTTCTCCTTGTTGGCATAGTAGACGTCTGTCTTCATACCTTTTTCAGTGTAAGACTTCTCCTTATTGGCATAGTAGACATCTGTCATCATTCCTTTTTCCAGTGTAAGACTTCTCCTTGTTGGCATAGAAGACTGTTGTCATCAAACCTTTTGCCAGTGTAAGACTTCTCCTTGTTCGCATAGTAGACGTCTGTCATCATCCCTTTTTCAGTGTAAGACCTCTCCTTGTTGGCATAGTATACATCTGTCATCATACCTTTTTCCAGGGTAAGACTTCTCCTTGTTGGCATAGTAGACGTCATGTCATCATACCTTTTTCAGTGTAAGTCCTCTCCTTGTTGGCATAGTAGATTTCTGTCATCATACCTTTTTCAGTGTAAAACTTCTCCTTGTTGGCATAGTAGACGTCTGTCATCATCCCTTTTTCAGTGTAAGACCTCTCTTTGTTGGCATAGTAGACGTCTGTCTTCATACCTTTTTCAGTGTAAGACCTCTCTTTGTTGGCATAGTAGACGTCTGTCATCATCCCTTTTTCAGTGTAAGACCTCTCCTTGTTGCCATAGTAGACATCTGTCATCATACCTTTTTCAGTGTAAGAACTCACCTTGTTAGCATAGTAGACGTCTGTCATCATCCCTTTTTCAGTGTAAGACCTCTCTTTGTTGGCATAGTAGACGTCTGTCTTCATACCTTTTTCAGTGTAAGACCTCTCCTTGTTGGCATAGTATACATCTGTCATCATACCTTTTTCCAGGGTAAGACTTCTCCTTGTTGGCATAGTAGACATCTGCCATCATACCTTTTTCCAGTGTAAGACCTCTCCTTGTTAGCAAAGTAGATGTCTGTCATCATACCTTTTCCAGTGTAAGACTTCTCCTTGTTGGCATAGTAGACATCTGTCATCATACCTTTTTCCAGTGTAAGACCTCTCCTTGTTAGCATAGTAGATGTCTGTCATCATACCTTTTTCCAGTGTAAGACTTCTCCTTGTTAGCATAGTAGACGTCTGTCATCATACCTTTTTCCAGTGTAAGACTTCTCCTTGTTAGCATAGTAGACATCTGTCATCATACCTTTTTCCAGTGTAAGACCTCTCCTTGTTAGCATAGTAGACGTCTGTCATCATACCTTTTTCCAGTGTAAGACTTCTCCTTGTTAGCATAGTAGACATCTGTCATCATACCTTTTTCCAGTGTAAGACCTCTCCTTGTTAGCATAGTAGACATCTGTCATCATACCTTTTTCCAGTGTAAGACCTCTCCTTGTTAGCATAGTAGACGTCTGTCATCATACCTTTTTCCAGTGTAAGACCTCTCCTTGTTAGCATAGTAGATGTCTGTCATAGTACCTTTTTCCAGTGTAAGACCTCTCCTTGTTAGCATAGTAGACATCTGTCATCATACCTTTTTCCAGTGTAAGACCTCTCCTTGTTATCATAGTAGACATCTGTCATCATATCTTTTTCCAGTGGAAGACCCCTCCTTGTTAGCATAGTAGATGTCTGTCATCATACCTTTTTCAGTGTAAGACTTCTCCTTGTTGGCATAGTAGCTGTCTGTCACCACACAACTTACACATGTATGTGAATGTATGAGGCTTATAGGAGTAAGATGACCTACTCTCGTGACCTATTGATGTACATTTTGTAAACAATGGTTTCATGTTTTTCACACGTCTTTGATATTTGGTTGTTTGTGACAGTTTAAAACGAAAACCCTGAATCCTACCTGGCTGGAACAGTTTGATCTGCGTATGTACGATGACCAGAGTCGTAACATGGAAATCACAGTCTACGACCACGACGTCACCGGGCGTGATGACTTCATGGGCAGGTAACAAAATCAAGGTCAAGGGGTCAAATTTGTAGGAAGGTAACCAACAAATGTGCATCAGGTGGCAATATCCTGCCTACTTTTCATATTAAGCTGGTACAGAAGCGCACAGCTTACATGTATATGAATTACTGCTCTATTGATCAATTCAGCCTCAGAAAGACTAATGTCTAATGGACTAATGGAATAATAAAATAAAAATCCATTTGCCAACAACAAATATTATGTTATTGCTTAAAAGTTATAATCCTTGAATTGTAAGGGTAAAATAGGATAAGGTATTAAGTGAGGAGAAATTGATATGCGGGCTTCTTCAGCAGGTATAGCAGTACAGTAAGATGGGCCACGTCGACGTAGCTCTCTGTGAAAGTATTGACCTGTGCATGCATAAGGCCATTCATTTTATTCCAACTGACTGACAGAAATATTGATTAAGTCGGATGGAGTTAGAGTTATAGTTAAAAATATATTGATGCTTAACAGTAGGGTAAGATTAATAAGTGCATGAATATTTGAATAGGAAATTTACATGACATTTGTTGTACTGTATAACACAATGTGTTCATGGGTACTTTCCTTCGTGGTTTGAAGCCTTTTCGATCGTTTCGTGGACAAACTTTCGTGGATATCCTATATTAACAAACAGTAGACACGTATATCATTCAAATTTGTTGTATTTATTTTCGTGGTTCAAAAGCAGCAACGAAAAACCACGAATATTTATACTCAACAAACATTTCATGTAATACAGTGTTGGGAAACCTGTCTAAAGTGAACACCTCTGGTCCAATGGAAGTTTTGTTGAGAATATAAACAGGTTCACAAATAACAGGTTTAGTTTTCCTACAATGGACAAAGATATGTAACTAGTTGAAAGTCTGATTTTAAAGGTTGTCAGATTTTACAGGTTCCAGTTTACCAAACATGGATATAGATTTACCTAAAGTTTATAAATTTGTGATCTACACAGATTTTCTGATTACACAGTGTAAACTTTTACCTAGTTATACTCTAGCTGTATACATTAAAACATTGATGACTTTTATTCAAATTATTTGAAAAATTATTCTCTCTGGATGAAAGTATTCAAAAAACTGAATAAGTACAATCAATCCAATTTTTGAACTTTTTCTGGTGTTAACTTAAGGAAATTGTGGATAGTAACAATGTTTCACTTTGTATGTATACCGGAAAATTATCACCCTTCACCCATGAAATCAATTTTTGCCCGGTATTAATTTCGCCCTTCACCAATGAAATCAATTTTTGCCCGGTACTAATTTCGTCCTTCACCTTTGAAATCAATTTTTGCCCGGTGTTAATTTCGCCCTTCACCCATGAAATCAATTTTTGCCCGGTGTTAATTTCGCCCTTCACCCGTGAAATCAATTTTTGCCCGGTGTTAATTTCGCCCTTCACCCATGAAATCAATTTTTGCCCATTGTTAATTTCGCCCTTCACCCCTGAAATCAATTTTTGCCCAGTGTTAATTTCTTCCTTCACACTTGATTACTATGGTAATTGTGTGGTTTACTTATATTCATTGTAATGATAAATTGGCTCTCATAAGATTGGGCAAAAAAGACGAAAAATTAAACTGTAGTGACATTTCTGGTATACAGGTGATATATATGTATATGATATTCATTATTTCATCACAACTGTTCTTGACCTCCCCAGAGCGGTGATTGACCTGTCCCAGGTGAAACACGAGTTGACCCATACGTTCGACCAGGCACTGGAGGACGGGGCAGGCATCATTAAGATACTACTGACAGTCAGCGGAACGTGTGGCACCGAGACCATCTCTGACCTCTCCAACTTCACAGCTAACCCCCGCGATCGTGAAGAAATCATGACCAAATATGTAAGACTCTCATTAAAATGTCTCCAAGAAATCATGATCAAGTCTATAACGTAGCTCTTGATTTCTCAAATATTTTAAGACCAAATATGTTAAATAATCTGCGGATCAAGGCTGCCATGTACCTGTATAAGCCTTAATTTCTGTGCATTGTATGAAGCTGTTTTGACTCGGTATGTTTTAGTCGTAGCTCTTGTTAACTCATTTACCCTTGAAATTTCATAATGGACTACTCCAACCTTTGCATTGGAAGAGTTCAAATGTATCTTCAGGGTTGAATGTACTCGGTGTGTGTATAAGTCTTACCCCTTGTTCATTATCTGAGGGTGTTATGACCCAATATGTATAGGCCATACCTCGCGAGCATTATCTAAAGGCTTTATGACCCGGCCGTTATGTATAAGCCATACCTCGCGAGCATTATCTAAAGGCTTTATGACCCGGCCGTTATGTATAAGCCTACCTCTCGAGCATTGTCTGAAGGTGTTTTTACCAAATACATATTACCACTCCTGCATTGTCTGAAGGTTGAATAACCCAATATGCAAGTCTTACCCTGTACACCAGTACATCTACCTATAACAACTATGCTTACAGATACTGAAATCAAATCCAGCATCTGAATCTGACCCTAGGTTCCCCCCAGAGCCACAAGTCCGTAACCCCCTGTGTTACCTTCGTATTGAAGTATCAAGTTCCTTAATTTTACCAGTTTCATTGGCTCGTAACAACTTTGTCAATGACACGTATCACCTTAGATAATTAACCCGATATGTACAAACCCTTTGGTAAGTTTGATGGTGTTCTTGTTCATTCATACTCAACCTAGCACAGACATCCACAAACGTTTCAAAAAATTGTTATTAATAAATAAAAGAGTTGGGTACCAGCCACATCATACTCTGTGACTGTTTATATTTAAGAGACCCTTACAACTGTCAAGTACTTTGATCATTACAGCATAATAAAGTCTAAATCTACAAGTACCACTCGAGGAAATCAACAACCTCACACCTGTATTAGTCCACAGGAAATATTTCATACAAGGAAAGAAAGGACGCAAATTAACTCTATGTGTGCTAAACGGGAAGCAGTTAACACTAGACTATATATGAAGGCTTGTGATAACTTATGCTTGATATTACTTCCAGACAGTATTCTAGACTGATATTACAGAAATTATCAACAACAAAAATTGATTTTGTAAAGGTCTCTGTTTCAGCTATTTGTTGATCAATCATGAATATTCATGGCATAATTGGGGTACCTGAAATTTGTTACCAGACAGAAATATCAATATCATATATCATATTCATATTAATCTTTTTTTTCATGAGAAAACTATAAGAATATTTCTTAAAACGCTCAAAGAAATATCATATTGAACATCAGTACTTTCTAATAAATTCATCTTGAAGTGATTGCAATCGTTATCATACAATTTTATTTAAATTACATGATTTCTGTTGCTTTTATAAAATGATACCTGGTAGTATTTTCATAAATTGCTTCTGAGCTACTGTTTTTTTTTTTAAAGTTGGTATTTTGTGATAGCTTATATTTTTGGTATATTGATAGGCAAATACCTAATTCCAGTAAACTGTTTTGTAGTACATGTAATAGCAAACACCATTAAGTGAGAAGCAATTATGTAAGGGGTTAATTATTCTGTTTATAAATAATCAAAAGTGAGAAATTGTTCTGTTTAAGGATGAAAACCTTGCATTACCAAGTTTGACTGATCAGAAAGTGAGAACAAATCAACTTAACGAAATTGTGGTTAGGAACCCGAACAAAAACGAAATTGTGGGGGAAATCCAAACAAAATTGTGGGTAGGAACCCAAACAGAATTGTAGGCAGGAACCCAAACAAAAACAAAATCGTGGAGAGGAACCTAGCAGTGACCTTGCTATGGCCGACAAGTATTTCTGTAGTGCAATATAGTATGTACACAAACCTATGGCCAGTGATCCTCTCACTGACATGTACACAAACCTACGGCCAGTGATCCTCTCACTGACATGTACACAAACCTACAGCCAGTGATCCTCTCACTGACATGTACACAAACCTACAGCCAGTGATCCTCTCACTGACATGTACACAAACCTACGGCCAGTGATCCTCTCACTGACATGTACACAAACCTACGGCCAGTGATCCTCTCACTGACATGTACACAAACCTACGGCCAGTGATCCTCTCACTGACATGTACACAAACCTACGGCCAGTGATCCTCTCACTGACATGTACACAAACCTACGGCCAGTGATCCTCTCACTGACATGTACACAAACCTACGGCCAGTGATCCTCTCACTGACATGTACACAAACCTACGGCCAGTGATCCTCTCACTGACATGTACACAAACCTACGGCCAGTGATCCTCTCACTGACATGTACACAAACCTACGGCCAGTGATCCTCTCACTGACATGTACACAAACCTACGGCCAGTGATCCTCTCACTGACATGTACACAAACCTACGGCCAGTGATCCTCTCACTGACATGTACACAAACCTACGGCCAGTGATCCTCTCACTGACATGTACACAAACCTACGGCCAGTGATCCTCTCACTGACATGTACACAAACCTACGGCCAGTGATCCTCTCACTGACATGTACACAAACCTACGGCCAGTGATCCTCTCACTGACATGTACACAAACCTACGGCCAGTGATCCTCTCACTGACATGTACACAAACCTACGGCCAGTGATCCTCTCACTGACATGTACACAAACCTACGGCCAGTGATCCTCTCACTGACATGTACACAAACCTACGGCCAGTGATCCTCTCACTGACATGTACACAAACCTACGGCCAGTGATCCTCTCACTGACATGTACACAAACCTACGGCCAGTGATCCTCTCACTGACATGTACACAAACCTACGGCCAGTGATCCTCTCACTGACATGTACACAAACCTACGGCCAGTGATCCTCTCACTGACATGTACACAAACCTACGGCCAGTGATCCTCTCACTGACATGTACACAAACCTACGGCCAGTGATCCTCTCACTGACATGTACACAAACCTACGGCCAGTGATCCTCTCACTGACATGTACACAAACCTACGGCCAGTGATCCTCTCACTGACATGTACACAAACCTACGGCCAGTGATCCTCTCACTGACATGTACACAAACCTACGGCCAGTGATCCTCTCACTGACATGTACACAAACCTACGGCCAGTGATCCTCTCACTGACATGTACACAAACCTACGGCCAGTGATCCTCTCACTGACATGTACACAAACCTACGGCCAGTGATCCTCTCACTGACATGTACACAAACCTACGGCCAGTGATCCTCTCACTGACATGTACACAAACCTACGGCCAGTGATCCTCTCACTGACATGTACACAAACCTACGGCCAGTGATCCTCTCACTGACATGTACACAAACCTACGGCCAGTGATCCTCTCACTGACATGTACACAAACCTACGGCCAGTGATCCTCTCACTGACATGTACACAAACCTACGGCCAGTGATCCTCTCACTGACATGTACACAAACCTACGGCCAGTGATCCTCTCACTGACATGTACACAAACCTACGGCCAGTGATCCTCTCACTGACATGTACACAAACCTACGGCCAGTGATCCTCTCACTGACATGTACACAAACCTACGGCCAGTGATCCTCTCACTGACATGTACACAAACCTACGGCCAGTGATCCTCTCACTGACATGTACACAAACCTACGGCCACTGACCCGAATACATACATCAATACTATACTGTCCTTGGGGCATGCAATATTACAACAGACCAACTCTCCGATCTAAAATTGTTAAATCCATACCTAAATTTAGCCTGATTTATTAGATTTCCTTGCTTTAAGGTAGTTGTACAATACTGATATAGCGTTTGTTGGCGTGAATTCCCCCGTGGTAGTTCTACATTTCATTGATAAAGTAGACCTACTGCTGTTTTAACTTTGTTATCACGATTCTGAAAGTTATCAATGACAGGCTTGTGTACACTGGCTAGAGCATTCAAGCTATACATATAATCTTTACCTGTGGAGCATTTTTCTTGCATTGATTATTTCAGAATTTCATATCAGATAAATTTTGAAGCTGGTAGAATGCTTTTCTAATTGATTAATTTTCTGTTTTGTTTACAGCGCTTTAAAAACTCCATAAAAAACTTGAAAGACATTGGTTGGCTCCAAGTCAAAGGTAGGTCACCTGGAGGGTATAGTGTATTACAGTTATGAAACAATCATCTGGACCTTCTAAATGATTCTAACATATTCCAGTTGACAATGATAATTAACAAAACGAGATTTGTTAACCCTGTTATTATTTCAGTCATATAATTATTTATATTACCTATTTTATGACTTTTATTTTGATAATTTAAAAAAATTAATTCCAGAAAACATTTATATATGCCGTTATAGGTATGTTCCGTGCTTTTTTTTGCCCTTTAATTAACCTGGCAGAGTGTTCATTAGCATCCTCGCTGATTATTTATGTGTAAGTAACAAATCAAAACACCAGGAGCTTGATGCTATGTGATGATGGACTTGAGTTGATTAAAGTTTGGCAACCGTGAAGATATGATCACACTCACAATTTCTTTTATCTGCTCAGTAAAGGCCATTTTCCCCAATATTGCATTGTGTTTTTAAAATACAAACAGAAATGCTTAAATAAGTACATGGTGTTAGGCATTTCCTTGTGACACAAATTGTAATACAATGTTGTTACGAAATTTTAAACTACATGACACAGGACATTTTGCCTATGGGTAGAGAGTGTACACACTGCATCAAATAGATTGTTATTTGTTACACTGTAATTTTATTTTAATCCCCCNATATAACTCAGGTGACCGCTAAGGCCCTTGGGCCTCTTGTTATGAGGAAGCATTCAAATGTAGCTAAAATAGTGAAGAGGTCATTATCATTTGAGGCCCAAGGCGGGATACTTGTAGTTTTTAGCAAAATTGAATTTTTTTATTTTCGAACTAAAAGGTGCGAGAAAAAAAATCAATTACCTGTAACTGAGCAAGATCAGGTTATCTCAGTTTCGGGCTAAGATTCTGTAACATACAATTTTCAGATTTGAACATGTGCATTTCCCCCCTTAGCACAGTAATAGTATAGTTTTTGTATGAATTGAATTAAAAATATTGTCATTTTATACTGGTTACATACTACTCGTTATACATGTAGCTATGAACAATTGACTTTAAAGGCTAATGTAATTGTGTACTGTTTATGTCAGTGTAGGGTAATATATGGATTCTGCATAACTGATTGTTGATTTCCTTCTACTGACAGTGTTTCGTGCTCAGAACCTGGCATCTGCTGACATAGGAGGGAAAAGTGATCCGTTCTGTGTGTTAGAACTTGTCAACTCTCGACTACAGACACAAACAGAGTACAAAACTCTCAACCCAGACTGGAACAAGGTCTTCACATTGTAAGTCAAACCAGCTCAGACTGGAAAAAGGTCTTCACATTGTAAATCAGCCAGCTCAGACTGGAACAAGGTCTTCACATTGTAAGTCAGCCAGCTCAGCTCAGACTGTAACAAGGTCTTCACATTGTAAATCTAACCGGCTCAGACTGGAACAAGGTCTTCATATTGTAAGTCAAACCAGCTCAGATTGGAAAAAGGTCTTCACATTGTAAATCAGCCAGCTCAGACTGGAACAAGGTCTTCACATTGTAAGTCAGCTAGCTCAGACTCAAACAAGGTCTTCGCATTGTAAGTCAGCCAGCTCAGCTCAGACTGGAACAAGGTACATTGTAAGTCAGCTAGCTCTGACCCAACCAAGTCTTCACATTGTAAGTCAGCCAGCTCAGCTCAAACTGGAACAAGGTCTTCACATTGTAAGTCAGCCAGCTCAGCTCAGGCTGGAACAAGGTCTTCACATTGTAAGTCAGCCAGCTCAGGCTTGAACAAGTTCTTCACATTGTAAGTCAGCCAGCTCAGACTTGAACAAGGTCCTCACATTGTAAGTCAGCCAGCTCAGCTCAAACTGGAACAAGGTCTTCACATTGTACGTCAGCCAGCTCAGCTCAGACTGGAACAATGTCTTCACATTGTAAGGCAGCTAGCTCAGCTCAGCTCAGACTGGAACAAGGTCTTCGCATTGTAAGTCAGCCAGCTCAGACTGGCTCAGACTGGAACAAGGTCTTCCCATTGTAAGTCAGCCAGCTCAGACTGGAATAAGGTCTTCACATTGTAAGTCAGCCAGCTCAGCTCAATCTGGAACAAGGTCTTCACATTGTAAGTCAGCCAGCTCAAACTGGAACAAGGTCTTCACATTGTAAGTCAGCTAGCTCTGACCCAACCAAGTCTTCACATTGTAAGTCAGCCAGCTCAGGCTTGAACAAGGTCTTCACATTGTAAGTCAGCTATCTCAGACTCAAACAAGGTCATCACATTGTAAGTCAGCCAGCTCAGCTCAAACTGGAACAAGGTCTTCACATTGCAAGTCAGCTAGCTCAGACTCAAACAAGGTCATCACATTGTAAGTCAGCCAGCTCAGCGCAAACTGGAACAAGGTCTTCACATTGTAAGTCTAACCAGCTAAGACTGGAACAAGGTCTTCACATGGTAAGTCAGCCAGCTCAGACTGGAACAATGTCTTCACATTGTAAGGCAGCTAGCTCAGACTCAAACAAGGTCATCACATTGTAAGTCAGCCAGCTCAGCTCAAACTGGAACAAGGTCTTCACATTGTACGTCAGCCAGCTCAGCTCAGACTGGAACAAGGTACATTGTAAGTCAGCTAGCTCTGACCCAACCAAGTCTTCACATTGTAAGTCAGCCAGCTCAGGCTTGAACAAGTTCTTCACATTGTAAGTCAGCCAGCTCAGACTGGAATAAGGTCTTCACATTGTAAGTCAGCTAGCTCTGACCCAACCAAGTCTTCACATTGTAAGTCAGCCAGCTCAGCTCAATCTGGAACAAGGTCTTCACATTGTAAGTCAAACCAGCTCAGACTGGAACAAGGTCTTCACATTGTAAGTCAGCCAGATCAGACTTGAACAAGGTCTTTACATTGTAAGTCAGCCAAACCAGATTGCAACACATGTACAGTCTTCACATTTCAAGTTAAACAATTCAGATTGCAACAATAGGTCTTCATGTTTGAATCATTGCTGCAGAGACACTGAAGCACCCATCCCAGACTATTTCATCCTCCATCTGGGTTACTGACGTTGAATGGATGAAAGAAAATTTATGTTCAGAAAATTACATTTTACAACTGCAAGGACTGACTAAGACTGTCTTAAGTGGAAGGCCAGAGTGTTAACACCTCAGCCTCATCAGTCCAAAATAATGAGAGAAACATCAAATGCTTGATTTGAAAATGAATGTATTCCTTTTGTATCAATGTTGAATAGTCATGTGACAATCATGTGATATATGTTATGTTACAGAATCCTGAAGAACATTGGCATTATTGTGTTATTTGTTGTACAATGGTCATGTGACAGTCATGTTACTCTTGATATTGCAGCAATGTGAAGGACATCCACTCTGTGTTGGAGGTGACTGTGTATGATGAGGACCGAGATAAAAAGGTGGAGTTCTTGGGGAAGGTGGCCATCCCTATCCTAAATGTAAGTGTGCACGGGCCATTGAACCAAGGTATTGTTCTGTCCCTATCCTTGATGTAAGTGTGGGCCATCAAACCGAGGTATTGTTCCATCCCTATCCTAAATGTAAGTGTGGGCCATCAAACCAAGGTATTGTTCTGTCCCTATCCTAAATGTAAGTGTGGGCCATCAAACCGAGGTATTGTGACATCCCTATCCTAAATGTAAGTGTGGGCCATCAAACCAAGGTATTGTTCTGTCCCTATCCTAAATGTAAGTGTGGGCCATTAAACCAGGGTATTGTTCCATCCCTATCCTAAATGTAAGTGTGGGCCATCAAACCGAGGTATTGTTCCAGCCCTATCCTAAATGTTTGTGTAGGCCATTAAACCAAGGTGTTGTTCTGTCCCTATCCTAAATGTAAGTGTGGGCCATCAAACCGAGGTATTGTTTCATCCCTATCCTAAATGTAAGTGTGGGCCATCAAACCGAGGTATTGTTCCATCCCTATCCTAAATGTTTGTGTAGGCCATTAAACCAAGGTGTTGTTCTGTCCCTATCCTTAATGTTTGTGTAGGCCATTAAACCAAGGTATTGTTCCATCCCTATCCTAAATGTTTGTGTAGGCCATTAAACCAAGGTGTTGTTCCATCCCTATCCTAAATGTTTGTGTAGGCCATCAAACCAAGGTGTTGTTCCATCCCTATCCTAAATGTAAGTGTGGGCCATCAAACCAAGGTGTTGTTCTGTCCCTATCCTAAATGTAAGTGTGGGCCATCAAACCGAGGAATTGTTCCATCCCTATCCTAAATGTTTGTGTAGGCCATTAAACCAAGGTGTTGTTCTATCCCTATCCTAAATGTAAGTGTGGGCCATTAAACCAAGGTGTTGTTGTGTCCCTATCCTAAATGTAAGTTTTTGTGTCCCTATCCTAAATGTAAGTGTGGGCCATCGAACCGAGAAATAACCTTTCACAAAAGCGTCTGGCTTTGGATTCCACGATCGGACGTGAAAAGGTATGGGTCACCTGCCCGACCACGTGGGTTTTCTCTGGGTACTCAGGTTTCCTCCCACAGTAAGACCGCACGTGCTAACATCCGGGCCAACAAGAGTGATTGGTAAATGTTGTAATAACTATATATACGTTTCATAATTGTTCCATGACATGAATAAATTTCCCCTAAAGAAATTTCAACTGAGCAGAGATCCCCTTGATTGACCTATCTCTGAAGGTTTGTAGGCCTGATCTTAACTACTTGTATCCATGTACAACCAAGGTGTTTAATGTTACGGGGTTAAAATTTGTAGTTAAACACACTAGAACATTCTTTTTCATATTTTGCCAAATAGATATGAAATATCAAGTTAAATTTGGCATAAGGTTTCAATTTTCTGGTGTGAAAAAATAGTGATAAATTTATAAATAATTTATAAAATAAAATAAAAATAAGAAAAATAGTGATAACCCTTGTGTTTGGGTATTTAACTATACCTATACTTTAATGACAGATGACTTTGTTTCAGATAAAAAGATGTGAAAGACGATGGTACTCGCTCAAGGATAAGAAGCTGATGCGACGAGGCAAAGGAGTCATTCAGCTGGAACTGGACTTTATGTACAATCATGTAAGTATCTGACAGGAAATCAATGTACCAGTCGAGGTCACAGTTAAACAGAGATTTTATGGGGATAAATACAATTGTATATGGGTTATAAGAAATGGTATATTTGGTTACGAGATATTGGTTACAAGACATTGTTAAAATAATAAAATGATAAACCATATATCATTATTAATGATACCGGTGGAAGCATGGTCCCACTACAAACAGAACACAATACATCTCCAGCACACATGCAGGCATACACACATAGGGAGATATTAGCCAGGTGGCATAGGACTAGTAGTAAGCGCCTGATGAGGCAGCTCCTGCGAATTCCCTAAACAATTATATTGACAAATGTTTATGCTAATTGTATTGATTGTATAAATTGTATATCTATGTACTGTAAAGCCCTTTAGAGTGGCTAATTCTAGCTAGATAGGGCGCTATATCAAATGTTGTATATATATATTACATGTTAGAAAGATTAACAATGTATTACAAGGCATGTTTATCTGCTTGTGTAGAACTAAATTACTGGTTTACTCCAAATTCTGTAATGCTAATTAGCATTAGCACTTATACGAATCCCAATTGCGACCCATCCTAACTGAACAATCCCTACATAAATGATTTTTGCATTTAAAAAGCAGTATTTTATATAAATAAACTGTAACTAAAATAAGAATGTTTTTTGTGCTAACAGTATATGTGTATGTATATAAATGAGTTAGTTTTTTGATACGTTGTGTATTAATGAGTATGTTTTGTGATACATTTTATATTAATGGGTATGTTTTGTGATACATTGTATATTTATGCATATGTTTTGTGATACATTGTATATTAATGCGTATGTTTTGTGATACATTGTATATTAATGAGTATGTTTTGTGATACATCGTATATTAATGAGTATGTTTTGTGATACATTGTATATTAATGAATATGTTTTGTGATACATTGTATATTAATGGGTATGTTTTGTGATACATTGTATATTAATGAGTATGTTTTGTGATACATTGTATATTAATGGGTATGTTTTGTGATACATTGTATATTAATGAGTATGTTTGTACCATTACAGTTGAAGGCAGCTATCAGAACAGTAAACCCCAAAGAGGAGAAATATATGCAACCTGATCCCAAGTTCAAAATATCTGTAAGTCAGATATGTAGAATTAGATTAGCTGACTAGAAATTATATCGGTATTACCAAGTTACTGTCACAAATGAGATATTGTACATGTAATTTATGACATAACATGCTTTGATTTGCAAGTTTGGAAAACAAACAAAATTGAACTTGACTGTATAATCTTCAGACAGTAATATTCTCAACCTTCAGATCCTTGAATCTTGGAAAAAAGTTAAGGCCAAAAAAAATTGATTACTTGGTTCTCAGGCCCGCGCGCATTTCATGGCACTGTGCGCATTGCCGATTTTATCGTGAAAGTAAAAAAATAAAAAATCGTGAATGCGCCAGCCGCCATCTTAAAAAAAATCTGGAAAATTGGACCGCACGTCGTTTTTACTCGTTAGTCACCCAAGTCCCGAAAACGTTTGAATAAAGGTAAGGATTGAGATACAGGCAAGCGTTACAATGATTATGACTTATTAGTCTTGTGTACAAATGGTGCTCATTTCGGTACAAATAAGGAATGGGGGGTTCGTGATTCTCATCTGGAACATCATGGGGGGATTTTTGGAGGCTTGCTCTATGACAGGTCTCTACACAACTAATATGAAATGGGCACTGCCTATAAGCAAGCGCACATAGTTCGGTAATCTTTGTTATGATAGTGTAGATCTCGGGCGCCTGCAGCGCCCCAGCTAAGGGCTTTAAGGTTACAAAACGAACATAATCCCTCTTTAGGACAAAGGTGCGTCAAATATTCTGACATGAAAAGGAAATAAATGGTGGTTATAAAAAATAGAATCTTAATTAAGTAAACCTGCCAGATATTTCATGTAGGCCTTTTTGTACTAATTTACTATTATTTCAACACCTTTGTCAATATATCGCCTGATCCCTTTTAGCATCAAAATTTGTCAAGACAAAATGACGGAAATAGGATCTACTTTGCAAAAACATTATTTGTTAAAAAGGCAAAGTATTGCAATGCAATCCATAGTCGCTCACCAGTAAGAATTGCTATCTTTAACAAACAGTAAACTTATGTCAGGAAGCATAGGTCACAGTGAGGTTATAGTGATCTACTTCACTCCTCTGTCCCAAGATGTCCTTGTTCTTCAAATCAGGTCCTTAGGGTGAAATAGTATGGACAAAAGTTTGACTAAAATCTGTCAAAGAATGAAGTTGCTAAGTGTTTACATTGAATCGGGACGGGACGGACATGGGCAACACTATATGCCCCC